ATACAATGAAAGCTGTCTTCTCAATGTCGGATTCCTTCAGGGGAATCTGATAGAAGCCACTCTTTAAATCAAGAACAGAAAAATGTGTGGTTTCCCATTTGCGAGATCACCTCGTTGATTTCCGGGATTGGGTATTTATCGGCTATTGTTAGGGTGTTTAATTTCCTATAATCAATTACGAATCTGTATTTTTTTTTGTCCAGACGCGTCTAACTTCTTAGGTACAACCCACACGGGCGAGTTGTAGGGTGAACGGGATGGCCTAATAATTCCATCTTTTAATAGATTTTCTATTTCTTGTTTCACAAAGTCTCTCATTGCTAGGGGGTAAGGATAATATTTGGTGTATACTGGGGTGTCTGAAGAGGTTCTAATTTCCCCTACTACAGTAGTGGTGTAGGTGAGTTTCTCATCTGGTTCGGTTGTTTGTGAGACGGTCAATATGTCGTTTTTGCGTTTCTGTCATGTGGTCGGTCCTTACTCAATTTTGTTAACCGATGGTGAAGGTTGTTGTTTAATTTTTATTTTTATGCCATTGCCAAATGTGAGGGAGTCGTCGTGGATGTTTATGGTGGCACGAAGCTCTTTAAGACTATCGTTTCCAATTATGCCGTAAAAGGATTTTAGGGTGGGGAGCAAAAAGAATTTTAAATTCGTGTCCTTTCTGCCAAATTGATTAATAACTGTGTGGTGGGTAATTTGTATCTGTCCGGCTATGGAATTAGCAAAAAATGGTTGGTCATTGGGAATTCGTTTTGACACGAGGCAGGGTTGAATGTAATTTTTGCTCGAACCGGTATCGATGAGCATTTTCAGAATTTTTCCGTTCTTCGTTCTGCACTTTACATACGGCAGCGAAGAACGGTTCATTCTAAAAAATGAATATCGATATGGTCTTGAACGTCTTATGAAGGATTTTGTTCAGCGTATTCCTGAACTGATTGTCCACCTTCTTTGGCAATTTCTGCTTCATACTCTTCCGCTGTTGGATACCAATCCTGTTGATCTTGCGGATATTGGTCTTGTTGGTCCTGTAAATAGTATTGGTCTTCTTGAGTACCTGCCTCAATGTGGAAGTTCCTCTGTTGCTTCAGAGGCACTTGTTGGGAAAAGTTGGATGGTCTTTTCCCGGCCTGGTTATTAAGTGGTGGCCTATTCATGTAGTTGACCGCTTTTGAATGCAAGGAGCGGTCGACATCCATTGGCTCTGGACGTGGAAGTTGCGGCTTAGCGGGGGGTTGAGCCGGAGGCCTATAATTTGGCGAATTACGGTAATTAAGAGTAGGTTGTGGGCGTTGGTGAGCCATAAAATTATGTGGAGGCACGTATGGTCTTGGAATGTACGACAGTTGTGGGTAGAATTCGTTACTTAGTTTTCTTGGTGGAAGAGGTGGCCGCAGATCTTGGGTTTTCTTAACTTGGCCATTATTATTCAGCGCGTAGTTTGAGCGGAAGTTTTGGTTCTCCAGTTTTAAACATAAGTGGAGAGCCTGAGGAAGATCTACCGGTTCTCTCATGCCAAGAAGTCTCGGCAAGTCACCGTTTAGTCCTCGAATAAAGGTGTCGAGGGCCTTGTCCCGGTAGGTCCGTGTAAGCAAATGCAGGGATTCTGCACCTACTTCCATACATCCGAGTTTGTTGAGAATAAGTGACAGGTGTGAGTACACCTTTTGGTGAAATTCTTGAATAGTGAGGTTGCCCTGCACTAATGCGGTCATCTGGTACTCTAGAGTTCCCAAATCTCGTTTATCTGCGTAGTGGAGGGTAAAGCAACTCGAAATAGCCTTCCAATCCAGCGATGTATTATAAGATTCGAGGGCAATATCGGCGTTGCCCACGATTTTATTTCGTATAACATTAAGGATGCCATAATATTTTGGCGTTTCTTTTTGTGGCTCGTAGATCTGTAATATTCTATCTACGCCTTTTTTCCAGGAGTTAAACTCTCCCGGATTGCCTGAGAATTCCCGTAGGCATCTCACAACGTCCGGAATTTTGTCTAGTTCCGTTATATTGTTCGCTAGGGTCGAGTATGGTCACGTCCGTAATATTTGTAAAATTTGAGTTGGGGTTGAGGGCGGCTTGCACTAGGTTTCGTACATATTATATTTATATATATTGGTCACCACGCCAGTTATTATATTCGTTAGTTGTTCCATATTAATTCCGTTAGGGTTATGGGTAACTGGTTGGGAAGGGGCTGTGGTAGTCGTATTTAGCAATGGGGGTCGGACGAGTTTATTAGAATTTGCCATAACTAATTTTTATTTATTTTATTAATGTGTCCTTATCCTCTGGAGGGTCCCTTTGGTGGTGAATCGCAGAGTTGGACTGTTGTTATTAGCTGGAGGGTCCCCTCGAAGGTGGTGAATCGCAGCTTTAGATTTTTATCAGTTATTGGCTGTACAAGCCTTAGTTATTTTTCGTTTGTAGTTTAAAGTTCTCTGGAGGGTCCCTTTGGTGGTGAATCGCAGATTTTTTTTTTTATAAGCTGGAGGGTCCCCCCGAAGGTGGTGAATCGCAGATTTTTTTTTTTTATAAGCTGGAGGGTCCCCCGAAGGTGGTGAATTGCAGCTTTCGATTTGTATCAGTTATTGGCAGTACAAGCCCGATATTATTTAGATATTATTTAGGGTAAGTAAACTTCAACAAAGTTTTAATCTGAAATGAATTGATTGCAGTTCAAAAATTTTCTCCTTTTCCTTTTTCACTTCTCACTCTTATATTATAAAATTTTCTTTGAATATTTTCATGTGTAGATTGCGAGAAAAAAAATGCTTCAAATATCTTGTTAAATTTCTCTTTAAAATTTACTTAAATTATTTTCGTTTGCAAAAGTTTATGATTTTATTAATTTTCTTTTTTCAAATTCCTTAAAATTTTTTTCCAATACTTAATTACTAATCAACTTGTTTTAAATCTTACTTCCTAGCACCTCCTGGCGACGGGGTAGATGTCCTTTTCGCTGCTCTACTCGAGTACCCTCGATGCGCACGAATGAAAGTGTGCGTTACTATCCTACCGGATTCCAACGCTGATATGTGGTTTGGCACCAGTTAAGTTGCTTGTCCTCCTAACGGTCCTTCGGCTGTTGTTGACAGGCCTTGTCCGTTTATTTTCACGTTTTTTCCGCACGGCAACACTCGAATTTTACCGCGACGCGGTGGCACTCGGCTGTCCTTACAGGCGACTTTTGCCAATAACGTACTTCAACCGAGACGCGAACTTAAACTGGTCCCTGCTCGGGCGCCAGTTAAGTTATTTTATTAAATAACGCATTTTTAAAAAAGTGTGGGGACTCGCGTCCCCACGTCTTTATTAATTGAGTCTAAACTTAGAACTAACTACAATTGGTTTCTTAACATTAAATTAAACCTACTATCGGCCATCAGTCACGCTGCACTTGCATATGCACTATTTCCGAATATTGCCCAATCGTTGTTGTGCCAATTATTATTGCTGATCGAATAACAAATTGGTTAATGCGGTGTCAGCAATTGTGCGGATGCGCGTGTGGAGTTTCTGACCGTTGGTAGAAGTCAATTCTGCAGAGCTGTTGTAAACTGTTGCGTTAACTCATATCCAACTTCGTGAGTAGGTACCTGGTACTCACACCTTTTTTAAGAACTTTCATTTCTATCGTGTATGGTGTTACACACGCATTTTTTTTTTACTAGTTTGTTGAACTTTTATGCTTTTCGTTATTGTTTTAACAAATATATTTTTATATATATACAATTAGTTTTTAATTGTGGTTTTTTTCATTTTAAATTTTCGTGAATGGTAGTTTTTTCTTATTTTTTAAAACATTTTTTTTACACTTATCGTGCAATTTTAATTTAAAATTTTCGCGTATGTAGTTCGCTGTCGACTGCACCAATAATAAAAGACAATCGTTACTTCACGAAGGTAACTCTATTGAATGAATAATGAGTTTTTAGATTCAGGTTAAGTGAGCTTAAAACTTCAATACCAAATGAGTGAATAATAACAATCAGATTATTTGTTGTTATTGTAACTATGAACACTTAAAACTATAATACGACGAAAGTAAATAGTAAGAAGAGTGTTTGTTATTATTGTAATGAGAGAGCTTAAACTAGAAAACGATGTGATTGGGTAAAAACAAGATGAGTGTTTGTTATTATTGTAAAGAAAGAGCCTAAACTAGAAAAGTAATACAAAGAAGGGAAAAGATGAGAGAAAGTAAATAGAGCAACTACAGGAGTTATTGGTAGTAGTAGCATTAGTATTTATTTAAAATAAAAAATAAAAACGCGTTTTAAGTATACATCTTTTTTTCTTCTTATGCATTTCTCTTATAAAACATATATTTCTTTGCACATTTCGCAGTTTATAACAAATCACTGTTAACTATGAAGAAGTAATAATATAAATCAAAATGAAACTTTTTATTACTATCGCTTTGTATCTCTCATCTCGCCATTTAACATTCATAATAAAAAAACTCTTTCTGTGAACGCCGAAGTTGTTGGAATAGAGAGTAGAAATGAAGTAACTTTAAGTAAGTTTGGTTATTCATTATCATTATTTTGGCATTTTAATTTTAAGGAATATTGAATTTAGTATTGTTATTTCAGTGTAAAGGTCAACCATTTATTTACAAATTTTTTCTTGAAAATTACTGAAACATATTTATAACTGAAGAAATATAGTATTTTTGCATACTATATTTTTTCCAACAGTATAGAGTACGCTGACGAAAAAAATAGTACAATACTATATATCATAGTACGGTTGTCAACCCTAGGACTAGCATATTCAAACTAAAATAAAATAATTCAAAGTACTTTCTTGTAACATCATGAGCCAGAATTTCCTGTCATTGGCTGTAGATAACAGTCCAGAGTTTCTACAATTTAACTAGAGTTGTTAAAAATCTATTTATATCGAATTCCCCGCAAATTTCTGCCGATTTCCCGCAAGTTGGAGAGCGAGGTTAAACATTTTTGTTACCAATGCAAAATAAACCCAGTTAGTGAATTTAAAAATATCCGTCTATATTCAGGAAATAAAAGTAATTATATGTTAAGCAACTGGATTTTTTTCCAGATATTCACATAGTATATCCCGCAGTTTAAAAGCTTGCTGCGTCGCGTTGTTTGAGCACAACTTCCTTGATTTTTGTAAAGGAGTGATTTCGTCACGCCAACCACCTGGAATAACATTATCACCTTCGTAACGATCCACATACCCAAGAGGGCAATAGCTGTTATCATGCGTGCGTGCGAAGTTATGAAGAAGCACGGTAGCTTTAAAAACGTGTATCATATTTTGTGGCGACAATGTTAAAGGATTTGTTAAAATTTTCCATCGAGCGCCCAAAAGTCCAAGGCTATTCTCTATTACTTGGCGTGCTCGTTCCAATCGCGAGTTGAAAGCTTCACGACATTGTGACAAAGATTTTCCTAAAAAGGATAAAAATAAATGGTTAAAAAAGTAATATCAAGACATTTTGAAGAATATTGGAGGGCCGTATTCTAGACTACCTGTTAAAAATAACTGGTGCTTTCACTGCTTGTCGCTAACATGCTTGTAACAAGCAATAGATAAAAAGTCGATACAGCAGGCCAGTGCACTATGGATTTTTGGTTTTTTTTTGGCATCTATTAAAAAAAAGTTAACCTGTATTTCAGCTTAAAACAAAAAGTGGTTCCACTTAATCACGTATATCTTACGAGCCAATTTAACGACCTTAATATGAAATACGGCAAATGAAAGCTAATAGAATTCTCCAATAAACCTTATATCTTTGTTTAAAGTACAAAACCGCGTATCAACAAAATGCAAAACCGCGTATGTGAGGTTGCATAAATTACTTCCTAGAGAGTAAAAACACTAATGTTTCAAAATGGTTGTCTTTTTTATAAAGTAATCACATTTCTAACTAGTATATTTTAGGACGAATGGATAAGGATTGAGTCAAGTGCTTGTGTGAGCAAATCCAATTTTTGGCAGCAAATGTCAGTTACGCGGTTTTGCAGAATAACGATACGCGGTTTTGTACTTTAAACGACGATACACATCACTTTCCGTTAGGAATTATAGTTTCTGATAAATTAATTAATCATTCCAGTTTTTATTTATTTTTTAATGAATAAATGAAAAAAAAATTCAAACTTTAACAGAAGAAAAATTTGAAAAATAGCAGGTTCTGTGCCAAATTTTTGCATCTGTGCTATAACCTGCTCTGTTATAAAAAAAAAATCAAGTTACTACTGAAGAAAATGGATGGATAAATAAAAAAAATAATAGTGGTCAAATGAAAATACGTAAAGATTTTTTGTATGAAATTTGAGCAGAAAAGCGATTACTCAGGTGTACGTGGCATTTGAGTAACTTTCTTTCCTGCTCATTTTTCGTACAAAAAATCTTTTCCTTTTTTCATTTGACCACTATTACTTCTTTATTTATCCATCGATCTTCTTGTAGTAACTTGATTTTTTTTTGGAACAGAACAGGTTTTATCACAGATGCAAACATTTGGCACAGAACCTGTTATTTTTTAAATTTTTCTTCTGTTAAAGTTTGATTTTTTCCACATTTTCATTAAAAAATAAAAAAAAAACTGGAATGATTAATTAATTTGTCAGCAACTATAAGTCCTATCGGAAAGTCATCTAAACATGGTTAATTTTATTAGCTTTCATTTGCCATATTTCATATTGAGATTGTTAAATTGGTGCGTAATATTACGTTCTCATTGAGCCATTAACTCGAGTTTAACGTTTTGAGTTTATGAACAACTGTCAAGCGTTCACATTGGGGTGTTTAAGAAACTCAGAGTTGAGTTTGACATTTTTTTGTTTACTTTTTCTTATTCTCATTTAGTCTGTTCCCGTACTACAGGAGTTAACCGACACACACATAAGTCTAGAATACCAACCGTTTAGCTATAAAAAAAAAAAAACAAGAAATAAGGATCGATAGAACTTTTTACGCTAATTTCAACCATACCAAAATTATTTCGTGCAAATAAAAACCAAAGCCAATAAAAGAGGTTAAAGTTCAACTTAACTATTTCTTATGTGTTTAATATCTCGGAAACTAGTTAACCGATTAAAACATTATTGATGCTAGTTTCAACATAATTTAAATGCCTTTTATGCAAGGTATATACTATAACCAGTTTTAGAACTAATTTTATATAAACTACATTTAAAAATACATATTTTTATTTTATTTTGTTTTTTAGTATTTCTCGACTAAAAATATAAAAAGGCATATAAATTATATACACACATGAAAGAAAAATTAATTATCTTTATTTTGACGTCATTAGTTTTTTAATAGGTTATGTTGTTCAGAAGATATTAATATTAAAAAAAATCAGAAAATTTAACTTTAACCATTGATATCTTTTTTATATTTTAATTTCGCCAGGTAATTTTAGTAGGCTTGAAATCAGCACAAAGAGTTCTGTCGAGCCACATTTTTGGTTTTTGCATCGCTAGATTGTTGATATTCTAGACTTACGTGCACAGAACGACTTCGGACTAATTCTGATTAAATCCTGCAGTACGGGAACAGACTAATTGTCGGCAAGTTGGTTGCAAGTTTGGATTATCAAAGACACAAACCGAATCGGGTCAAAAAAAGGGTTGCATTCGCATAAACTCCAAATAAAAGTGGTATTTAAGGAGAGTTTAACGAAATTTTTTGTATGGTAAACTCCGAGTTTAAGAGTAGAGTTAAGGCTTAAACTCCAAAATGGCCCATAAACACGAGTTAGTGGCTCAATGTGAATGCCTTATAAGATATACGTTAAGTGGAACAAATTTGTGTTTTAAGCTGAATAACGGTAAATTGAAAATATCTCGAAAACTTATCCATAAAATAAAAAATTAACTAAATTTTCGGAATCAGCGAGCAATTCCACATAGCAATTGGATAGTGGCATCCACTGAACATTTTTTGCTGTAAACCAGTGTTATATAAAAAATTAATCGGTAAAATTTTTTACGGTTACACTGATTGAGCGGTACGCTTTCAAAGTCAGCGATTATGCACGTGGTAACTTTGTGTATAATTTGGTGAAATACATTGCAAAAGTTTGATTGCTCACGTTATCCAAATAAAACGTAGAATATAACTTTAAATGATGCAGTCATAGTTCAGGTATGTAAAATTATAGTTTCGTAATATTTTTGTCAATTTTATGTGGCTTTTGTCTTTGTGTAGCGTGTTTTATTGAAGTGGATTCTTTAAATTAATCTTAACAATTATCGCTGTGTTTCGTAGAATAGAGCTTCTAAGGCGCACAGAGGTGCACAGGCTTTTAAATGCAGTTACTAGCTAAAGAGAGTGGTTTGTACAAATTTGCTCCTTTTCGAAAGAAATGGCTTTTCCAGAGGTTTGTACGTACGGAAATGCAGAGCTACTGGACATCTTTGGTAGAATGAATTTTTAAATTTTTATACCCGAGCGCACTTGTGCACACGGGTTTATAACTTTGTTCACATAAGGGTTGTTTGTAACAACCAAAACGAATCGAGATAGATATAAGCCAATGTATACGATAACTCGAGCAAGAATTTAGTATCTCAACGAAATTTGGTAGGTAGGTTGCTCCTTAGGTTAGGTTAGTTTTGAAAATGGGTGAAATCGGAGTGTAGCCACGCCCACTTTCCATATAACGGTATTTTCGAAAAATGCAAAAACTGCGATATTTCAGTAGATAAATATTAGGCTCAAATGGTATGTGAAGTAGAATTTTGGTACAAAGCATTATGAAATGTTTGGAAAACGGGCGTGACCCCGCCTGCTTATGATGAAATTCTGCATCTCAGTAGCCCCTTCACTACCCCTTACCAAACTCGGTAAGAGCCTTGCTTAGGGCCCAAATAAAAAATTGTGAGGATCCAAATCCAGGGGCTTTGGAGTCCCCACAACTTTATTTATTTTTTTATGAAATATTGCTATGTATATATATATAGCAATAATATATATATATATTAGACTGCATCACTCCCCATACAAAAAAATTGGTACTATTTTTCCATTGGAATTATAAAACCTATTATATTTTAAGACGTCCATCAAAATATTTCGGAAAAAAATTGAGATTTAAGAGAGCTGGACCGATTTGAAATTACCTCCAAAAATGGAAAAATCCCCTCAAATGACAAAACGCTTTAAGCTTAAATAAGCTCACTTAAATCTTAAAATTTTTCCAAAATATTTTGGTGGACGTCTTAAAATATAATGAATTTTGTAATCTTGGCGGAAAAACCGCAACATTTTTTGTTGATGCAGTCTAATATATATATATGTATATATATATAAATATCTGTTGCCTAAAATAGGCATGTAATTAAACTGAAGTATTTGAAGTATTTGAATCGAATTAGTTAAATCGAATTGTATTACATTTACTTATATAAATTGCATTGTATTACATTTACTTATATAAATTGAATTGTATTGAATTTACATATACTTGTTGAACTGTATAAACCATACACCACTATATTCAGTATTCAATTGTTGCTATTAACATTAGTAGTTAAGCATTGTTATTGTAGAATAACAGTCTGCCTGCGCGCAGAAGAGTATAATAGCGAGGAAATATATTGTGCAGTCGCTAGTAGGCAGGCATACTTGTCGGTGGGCACACACTACTGGCAAACGAAGCGCACCTGGGAGTTTCCACCTCATTTGCGTTTAGTCTTATATTCGGCGGAGGTTACCACTCCCGCCGACGGGTAAGATTAGTGGAGGGATATTCAATTAAACTGCCTTTAAAAAAGAGTAAATGGATTGAAGGCGAAGATATATTATTTTGAAGAAAGGAATAGGAATTTCCATTTCAGGAACCCTGGACGGACTTAGCTTACCCCGGCACTACAAAAGTTCGTCACAAATGGCGCCCGAGCAAGGACTTTCAAGAAGTCAACGAGAAAACAACGAGTAGGTAACGAGAAATAAGCGAGAAGTCAACGAGAAAACCACAAGATAGCAAACAGTATATTAGCAAGAAGACAACGAGGGTACGAAGAAGAAAATTTGCAGCAATGGTGAAAGTGACGTGGGTGTACTACCTCAACCTACTGACATACGCCACCGAGTTCGGCCTCGAGAGTTCTGGAACAGTGGACGAGCTTCGTAAGCCTCTCGACCTTTATCCAGACGGATAGTGACAACGAAGGACTCAAGGATCGCTTCACTGAATTGGCCCTTCGGCATGCACGGCCGACCATTTCGGAAACATCTAAGGGGACCAGCGAACTACCCCTACCAGGTAACAGTGTACCGCCACCTCCAGGTACTGCAAGTGAAGACGAAAATACATATGGAGCGACCAGGCTCCGTGAAGATAGACCACCACCGATGCACGTTGTACCCCCGCCACTATCATGTGCTACCACTATGGACCGAGTACGAAAATGGGGTTTCCGGTACGACGGCG